TACCTGGGGTACTGCACGCCCCTCTGTAGAGACAAGCAGAGCGAGGATGGGTAAGCAAGTTTTTGTGAAGCCAGAGCCGTGATGTAATCATGGGCCAGAGTGAATCTAGGAACATAAAGTGTTCATCAGTATCTTAATGAATACTTTGTCTAAATGTGGAACTAAAGCTTCTTTTTCTTATCTAGCTCTTTTTCTACATTTTGTGCAGTAACAATGTTAATTAAAAATGCTTTAAATCCACAGCATGATTATGAGAAATTTTCTTCCAAAAAGGCTGCTAACGATGATGATGATGATGAAGAAACTTTTCTCTTTGCCACAGCCTCGGCTCCCCCTGATTATAATGACAATGATAAATCATCTCCACAGGGTGAAGCTGAACCTGAGGCAGAAGCTGCTAGGTATCATATCAGTGCTCTTACAGTCAACCCTGAGCCTTCCTTCCCACAGGCTTTTCCTTTCAATGCTAAAGTTGTAAAGCCAAAAAAAATTGCCTAATAATACTGGTATTGCCCCTGCGGCTCCAGTCTTTCCTTTCAGTATGCAGGCAGTACAAGCTGAAGCAGAAAAAGAAGATTTTAGTTTCACAGCTTGTTTCCTGGTACAATTTTATACCAGTGCTGATGGACTGGATCAAGCTCAATGGGAACCCTTGCCATACAAATTGGTAAGAAAGTTACAGGAGGCAAGCTCAAAGTATGGTCCTCTTGCACCTTATACAATTACTATTTTAGATCAATTTGCCTCTCGATGAATGACTTTCACAGATTGGCAGCAATTAACCAAAAGCTGTTTGTCTGGAGGTGTTTATTTGCTGTGGAAAACCGAGTATAAGGACCAAGTTAGAATTCAAATGGACCAGAATTTAAATCAACCTGCTGGGTCATTCATTATTTCTCATGATATGCTCTCTAGGACTGGTATGTATACTCAAATGGCTAAGCAAATTTCTCTACCCAAAGATGTTTTGCTTCAGATAAATCATTGTGTTGTTACCACGTTGGAAAAATTACAGGCAGACACTGCTCAGACTTCTTCTCTATTTGATATAAAACAAAAGGCCGAGGAAAGTTATGAGGACTTTATTTCCAGACTCACTATGAAGAATTGGGTAATTACTAATGAAGAAGCAGCAGAAATTCTTATCAAACAATTGGCTTTTAAAAATGCTAATAATACTTGTCAGACTTTGCTTAGACCCATATGCAAAACCAGACAGGTTACTGATTTTATCTGCCAGTGCATGGATGTAAGTTCAGCTATTATGCAAGGGATGGCTTTGGCTGCAGCATTGAAGGGAGAAAACTTTTCACAGATCGCTCAAGGTATGCAGGGTGCAGGTAAACAGAAAAATGTTTTAGTGTAATCATGTTATGTG